CATCCACGACTCCTGCATCTCGTAGGATTTGAACCCAGGACCTTCGGTATTGTAGACGAACGCTTAACCGTCGGACCACTGAACCGGTGGCATCTAACGGTGTTAATGTCTAACTTCGATCAATTCACGGAGTTACGCAACCTCATACACAGTCTTTGGTAGTTACTGCCTAACAATGATTGTGATTGGTGATTTCAATGTGTGTCTGTGCTTGTGTCTGTGTGTGTCTGCGTGCGTATGATAACTATTTGACATAGAGTTTTCAAGTTTTTCACAGTAAGACATTAATGATGAGTAGATTGTAAGAACTGTCGATGACATCATCATCATCATCAACATCAGTATCATTCATCCTATTACACATTAAACTATTTGATTTTTGAATTAAAACTAAACATCTAAACATCTCAAATAATAATAAGATGATTGAAAATGATGACAGAAGTATGTCATTAGGAATAATTATCATGCACTCAAACGTAGTAACTATTAACAGTCATTTCACGCACACACGCACATACACACATGTACAACAGTACAATCTACATCATCACTTATATATAAATATATTGAAGGTTAAAACCAATTCAAACAAAGCAAGCTAGCTAACTAGAAAAAGTCACATTGAGTATACACAATCTACATGAGATAATGAGAGTAATCAATCAATCAGTCATCAGTCATCATGTCAATCATCATCATCATCATCATGTTGATTAATGATGACCTTGAAATGTGAATAAGTACTACTACTCTGTTTTTTAAAGTTGACTGATTTGTATTCAAGGTGTTCAATAACTAGTTTAGTGAAGAGAAAAAAAAAAGCATAAACACGATGATCGATATGGATTGAAAGGATGATGAGTCATATTGATTGATCGTGTGTGAGTGTGTGTGTCTGTGCAGTAAACGTCATCATGATACTGTTCAATTATTCATTCGTTGATGTGATGAATTACGTTGATTGTTTAAAATTACGGGTAGATGTAGTTTTATTGAAATTCTAAATTGATGATTGGTGTTAGATATGCTGACTCAATGTGTTGGGGATATTAGATCTCCAAAAAACTCGCTTGTTAAATGCCTTAATTTTGGATTTACACGTTTGCCAGCATGGGCTGGTCAGTTGACCTTGAGATTTCAGTTCCCATCAGGAAAATCGTTGGTTGTGATTGGCTGCTGTGTATTTCAGTGTGCTATTTTCGTAATTGTTCCAAGGACGTTTTTATAATGATGTATAAATAAACGAGAGTTGTGTGCTTGATTGTAGTGTGTGATTGCTGGGTGTTTGTAGAATATACTTTCTACGCTCACAAGGCCCTATTTTACTTCCGCTTGGGATTCAAGGTAGCCTACCTGAACGCTGGTAAAAGTCTCGTCCACGTTTATCGACTAAGGTAAACTCGTAATAGCCTCAAGCACACTTAGTGACGAACATATTATTTGGCGACGACGCTTTTGGAAATATGGATCCTGACAAACATGAATTATTATTTGAGCAGCAGCTGAAACCGAATGCAGATGTTAACAGACATGAAGATTTCCCTCTTCCACACAGCCCAGCTCATCTAATGCAACCACAGCTCCATCGGTCGATGGCATCGTAAATAGCATAGCTGAATTTCATTATGATCCTGATGCAAATGACACTTTTGATATGTGGTTTCGGTGTTATGAAGATTTATTTAAATTTCATTTCGCCAACCAAGATGATGTTTGGAAGGTTCGGCTGCTACTTCGAAAGTTGGGTGCAAGTGAGCTGAACAAGTACTGCAATTTGATCCTGCTTTTGAACCCACGAGATTGTTCATTTTTTGAGACTGTTCAGACTTTAGGGCCAACACTTTGGCGATAACTCGTCACTTTTTAATACTCGTTATCGATGTTTGAAGCTAATTATGAACGAAAATGATGATTTTCTTACGCACATAGGCATCGACAACCGTGAATGCGAACGCTTTCGGTTGAAGTCTTTGTCGGAAGATCAGTTTAAAGCCCTTATACTCATCTACAGCCTCTAGTCCCATAAGTTCAGTGACATTAGAACAAGGTTACTATGTCGTTTGGAGCAAGATAAGAAGCTTACGCCTAATGACATGGCTAATGAGTACCAACGTCTCATTAACCTACAACGAGACGAAACCTACACAATGTTGTAGAGGTTAAGCATTCGTATGAGAGACCAAAAGACTTAAGTTCAATTTAGGCTGTTAGCAAGAATTGAGGATGAGTAGTGTCACTGATGAGTCTCATTCAAGGACGAAACATCAATCCAGTTCAAGACAATGCTGTTCACTTGTAGAATTGTGAAATCAACACTGAATGACTTTAGTGTTGGTTGACAGTTGTTGTTCAACTATAGAAATACAACTATTCCTTTCTCGATCTGTGCCTTCACATCTGCATCAGATCTGTTGTGTTCATTAATGAGACTGACCAGATATGTAAAGGTTTTAACATCCTAAAAGGCATCTCCATCAAGAGTGATTTGGTTGGTGCATGTTGTGTTGCATCGGAGAATTTTGCTTTTTCCTTTATGTATGTTGAGGCCTACTGCTGCAGAGGCTGCTGCCACACTGGTCGGCTTCTCTTGCATTTGTTGTTGCGTGTGCGATAGAAGAGCCAGATCATCTGCGAAGTCGAGATTGTCCAGCTGTGTCCTAGCTGTCCAATGAATAGCGTGCCTTCGTCGAGATGTTGACGTCTCCATAATCCAGCCGCCGCAGTGTTGAAGAAGCCTCCATCGTGTTCTCCTGTCCACGCTATCGTGTGCTTTCTTGTAGTCAATGAAGTTGACATAGAGTAGTGAATTTCATTCAATTGGTTGTCCCACAATGATCTGTAATGTTGAAATTTGATCGGCACACGATTGATGCTGACGAAATCTAGCCTGTTGATCTCGAAGTTAGGCATCTACTAAACTCTTCATTCTGTTTAACAAAACCCTGTATTGGTTATCTGAAACTTCCTAATGATTTTTAAAACTCTAATTGATCAATCTCTACAAGCATTTAGAGTGCTTCCTGGACGAGTTGCCTCGATATTGCCTTTGAGTGATAAGTATTATTAGCAGGAATAGATTGTGACTAGTGAGTTTAAAAATTTACAATGACTACGTAAACACGTCAATTTGATATGTTTGAGCTATTTATTACCAGTTTGACTTTGTCGGAAAATGAGAGCCAGGATCGACGATCCGGTGACACGATATACTACTCTAATCGAAGTTTCTCAACCCTCATTGAATGAAAGAAGAAGACTTGATATGATGTAGAACATGTATTCTACAATCATCCAGATAGTATGAGGTCCGAGTTCAGAAGAGGGTAAGGATCGCGGACTATGGATCCGGGTCATAAAACGTCTGAGATAATACGTATCTATACATTTAGGTCAAATGGGAAACAGCATCGAAGTCTGTGACATTGACAGTTAAGTCAACCAATAGGAAACAACATTTGAAGTGACATTGATAGTCAGGACAACCAATAAGAAACAACATTGGAATACATGACATTGAAATCTACTAGGACGATCATAAAATTGACCAGTAGAAATTAACCAATAGGAATCGACCAATAATTCTCTCTCTAGGATATTGGATGAATATGCTAACAACTACCATAGTAAGGTCAATTCATGTTATCCTACCGTTAAGATGTTCACTGCGAGAATCATTGGTTTGATCTTTCACAGTGTCATATATGAATGTTACAACTGTTCAGTACTTCATTTTAGTACTGTTAATAAAAATTCAGTCAAGTTCAACCCTATTTACGTGTAGACAATAGTTACCATACCGAAGACAAATGAATGAGATAGAGCGAAATTCCCCAAGATTGATCAGAGTTACACATAAACTCTGTTCGATTCTGGCTGGCTTAATGATCCAAAGGTTAAGCTTTCGCTGGCAAGACTAAATGTCCTCGGTTCGAATCCTGTGTGAGGTGTAGGAGTCGTGGATGTGCACTACCACTGATGAATCTCATACCAGGCCGAAACAGCCATTCAGCGCTTTCAGGATCCGGATGGTAGTCTAACAATGATTGATTTATGATTCCATTTGTAAGCAACAATCTCCATAACTCTATCAAGATAAATCATATAAATCACTCTAATCACAAAACGATCAATTTTCAACAACCACTGTAAACTCTAAGAAGCATTAAAACCATCTTATTATTCAATCAGAGAACTCTCTGTTAGGTAACCATTCACAACCATGAGGAAATTGAGCAAATATTCCCCCACCCCCCACCGATTGATCACTGAATCAATATCCACTGGTATACGTATACATTGAACAAAATTAATTAACTGTATATATTGGGGCAGAGTTTTGGAGGGTTGGCGTTTTTTACACATTTTTGAAATCATCAATCAATCAATCAATCATTGTTACTAGACCACCATTAGAAGAAACCTGGAAGCACTGAAAGACGGCCGTTTCGTCCCTGGTGTATGGGACTACTCATCAGAAATGATTGATTGATGATTTCAAATGTGTAAAAAACGCAAACCTAAAAAACTGTGCCCCAAAATATCGTAACATGTGCTCACTAGTAGTGGTGACTAGCTTCTTCGTGAGGAAATTCTAGGAGTTCTAGTTGAGAAGATGTGACTAAAGGAGTTCAACCCTGTTGGGTGTAGGAAGTAACTACTATCAAAGACAAATAATGGGTGAAGTCGCGCAAAGTCCCTAGACCAATCAGAGTTAGACATTAACACTGTTGGATGCTAGCCGGCCCAGTGGTCCAGAGGTTAGGCGTCCACGTACAATACCGAAGGTCCCGGGTTCGAATCCTGCGAGGAATGCAGGAGTCGTGGATGCGCACTGCTGAGTAGTCCCATACACCAGGACGAAACGATCGTCTTTCAGTGCTTCCAGGTTTCTAATGGTGGTCTAACAATGATTGATTGATGATTTCAAAATGTGTAACTGTATATACACTGAACATTGAACAATTGAAACAATTGAAACAAACCAAAACAAAACTTACCATCTTTATTCATGCCAACTTCAAGACATTTAGTTAAACGACATGCTCTACATTGATTACGATGTGATTTATCAACACGACATACAACAATGTTAGATTTATTGCCAACAGTTGTACCACGACTTTTACATGTATATTGACGATTACGTCGGATAGATCTCTAAAGGAAGAGAGAAGAAAAATCAATAAATCAATAAACCTTTGTCATTTGAATAGAAAGGGAAATTAGAGTATATATATATATATATATATATATATATATATATATACATGGACACACCACATTAGGTCAGACAGATGCAACCGTCAATTCAAATCCAATAGTAGAAGAGGTAGTAAAGGTATTAGAAGTAATTGGAGAGGTTAGGATTAGAAGATACTATTCAAGAAGTATGATTCAATGAGAAAAGTTTAGAGAGTCGAAACTAGAGGTGTTGAAGAATCCAGAAGATTAGGATTTGAGAGAACACAAAGAATAAATGCACCTGCGCCATTGCGAACGATTTTGAGCCATATCATTCAAGGTCTCTAACCATCGATTATTATCATCTCGGGGACCCCAACCAGGTAGTCGACAATTACCGACATGGCTAAGTCCACTAGTCAATGACTTCATGGATTTCTGCCATGTTTTGGTTTGGCCAACGCTAACTTTCTTACAACTTATTCCTACACTACAAAACAAAGATCGTCGAGGCAGTCGGTAGTTAGGCATACATAAAACATGTCCCGACCACCTCCACTGATGATTTTGCAATACTTGATCTACTGATCTGCCATTCTTACTTAGCACCCGATTCCTAATAACAGTGTTGCTCACTCGGGTGTCCCAGGATATACGAGCAATGCTTACAAGACACTTATGATCAAAAACCAGTAACCTACGAATATCTTCTACTCTCACTGGCCATGTTTCACAGCCATAAAATAGGACAGAGCAAACCACTGCGCAGTACACTCGTCCTTTGGTTAGTGAATGGATATCTCGCCTACGCCATAAACGGCGTAAATTGGCAAAAGTCAATCGAGCTTTCTGAATCCGTGCTGAGATTTCGTCAGTCATCAGGCTATCAGCGCTGATGAGACTCCTCACAGATAAGTGAAGTGATCAACACGCTCAACTACTTCACTGCCTATCACTAGTTCAGGTGTCGATGTAACCCAATCTTGAAGAAACATTTCGTATTACGACGGAGAAAACCTTCGGCAACATATGTTCCAGCCAATATAGTTCAGTTGGGTCATCACGACAGGTAAGCCCGACCACCACGTCAAGGTAGTAGCTACGGTCGAATTAGTAGTAGTAGTAGTAGTAGTAGTAGTAGTAGTAGTAGTAGTAGTAGTAGTAGTAGTAGTAATGTAAATAGTAGTATTAGTAGTAGTATAGTACTTTTTAGTTAAAAAAAAACCATCATTAAATCAACAATCATCATCATTATCTCTCCCCTGATTAAATGATCTATCTTTTTTTACAATAATTTTACTCAATAAATGACAAGACAAGTTCAAGTTCTCTTGCCTACCCACCCAACCCCCCACCGTCACTGCACTCTTCTCTTTATATAAATTACTTTTTTGT